AAAAAAAAAAAAAAACGTTTGTAGTGTATAAGATGTCAAACATGTTATTTTGTTCGAGTCTTCTCTATTGTTTGACACATAACAAAGCCTCTTTATTTTTCAGACCACTTCACTTGTGCGTCACAACATGGAATGTTGCTGTTGTCAAAAGGTGGGCCGAACTTGCATCTGCAGAAGAGATTGCTGACGCTATTGATATTCCATGCTCTGTTGGAACAGCATTATGCATGGCAGCTGCCTTGAAGAAAGATCACGAATCTGGTAAAACTTGGGTTGTTGATTTACAGTAGTGTTATAGTAGTTATCTGGTGCTAATAGTTTAACCATGAATACACAGTGATAGGATTTCATCTTGAAAGTTGAGTTCTGGAATTTACCTTTCTGATGTTGTATAAAAATGTAGAGGGCAGAGAATTGGTAAGGATTCTGCTAGCTGCCAGAGCTGACCCGACAGCTCAAGATGCCCAGCATGCCCACACTGCTCTGCATACTGCTGCCATGGCCAATGACATTGAGTTAGTCAAGGTAGGCCGAATACTGTGTAATTGCAGAACTAGAACTGCTGCTTTTGTCAAACTGTTTTCCAGATGCATTAGGAGGTGACTCCTAAATGTAAGCTCTGCCTGTTTCGTGACTGTAATTTGTAATGTACATGCCTTGTTAATTCCTTTATCTGTAGATTATTTTGGAAGCTGGGGTTGATGTGAACACCAGGAATGTGCAGAATACCATACCTCTCCATGTGGCATTGGCCAGAGGTTCAAAGTCTTGCGTTGGATTGCTTTTATCTGCTGGGGCAAATTGCAATTTGCAGGTTTATTGTTAGACATCCCCTGGATCTTTCATGAAAATGTAGTCAGACAAATGTACTCGTGTCCTCTTTGCTTCCAAACTCTCTATGAAATTTCTGTGATCCATGCCATCTATTAGTGGCTACATTTCTCAGAGTGAGAGCATGCTTTTTTATGGTTTTTTGTTATTATGGACTGATGAACTCGAGGTGATTGTCATGTATCTATAATGTATTTATAATCACATCAAGTGAGAGTCATTTTTTAGACAATTTTAACCCTACTAAAATTCAATTATTTCAATAATACCTTAATTTTCATTTTTCAATATGTAATAATTACTACAAAATCCTTGTCATGTATGAATTTCATGTTATTAATTCTCAATTAATTAACATTCACATTAATCTAGATTCAATGAATTTTGGATTAACATGAATCTAGAGTTATTATAGATGAATTTATTTCTATTCATGTATTTAGACATTTTAATGAGTGTTTAAATTCATGTATTAGCAATTAATTTTTATGTATCAAATGTAGTATAAAAAAGTTGCTCATTTGTAGAATTTCATCAAGAAAAATTTGAATCATAGAAGTTGAATTTCGAGAGTACAATTTTCTTCCCTTAAATTCCTATCTTAAATTTTATTTTTCTTAGTTCGTTTGAGACTCATCAAATCTTTCCAACAAATTGGTATCAAATATTTCTTTTACAATACGTATAAAGTATTTCAGAATAACGTGCAATGCACTAGTTTTAGGCTTTTGGCAAACATGAGAACTTGGTTATTCGTTGATGGAGGACTATTTGGTTGTTATTTTTGTTGGTGCAATGTAGCTATTCCTGGAAGTATGAGGTGCATTTTAATTTGATTTCCGCTATTTTTTTTTTGTTTTCTGCAATTGGTTTTTAAAATTTGAAAATTGTTAGCAAGTATCTATATACATTCAACAATATAGTATCTAATTTCGAAATAAGATCTACATAATTAAATTTGACATATAATTCATTCAGACCGATCTCCTTTTTGGGTTGTAAAATTTGATACTTCCGAACCTTTTTGTTGTTGTTAGGACTTATTATCTTGCTTATTTAAATATAAAAACTATTCGCATATTTGAATCCGAAGAGGCTCGTAGAGTTAATTGTTTTGATCTATATCAGTTAATTTCTTGTACCTGAATTCTAGCGTAGTGCTACAACTTTTAGTTCTAGCTGACCTTCTAGACCGCAGGGATTTTTCCATTTATGAGAAAGGTGGCAAAGTAACTCGATAATGTGAATATGGAAAAATGTTGAATATGTTGCTTAGGAAATTAGCAAATGAGAACCATGGCAGATGTTTATCTAAAACTGAATCAGATAGTCTTGGAGGAAGTTGAGGATCATTTATGCGGAGATGGTCAGGTGAAAAGAGGTACTTGTAAATGGAAAACAGAGATCTTGGGATCTGACAGCATTTATATTGGTGTGTGCGAGTATCACAGAGGATTACTTTTAGTTATCAAGTTAAGCTTATTGAAATTTTGAGGACAAATTAAGAGGAAGAAAACGTTACTGCCTACTTGGAACATTATTTATATCTGATACTCAAGATTATACTTGCTATATTAGAGACAGATTGCAGATTTGATCAACAATGGCATAAAACTATGGGTGCTAGTGTGGTACGTCACTTAGAGAAGTTACTGATCTATGAGGAGTGGTTGTGGAAAATATTAAGGGAAATAAACGTCTATATGTTGTCTTTATGAATTTGAAAGAGTTCCAACATATATATTTTTGATGAAAGATGAGCGTTGGAAGCATCATATATTTGTATGTTAAAGGATAAACTTGATGAGAGTATGATCATAGGGAGAACTATATCTGTGAATCTAGTGTGCTGCCAGTTGCTAGGGGAAATCCTAAACTGTTACCTTGCATTATTGTGAAGTATCAATGGATTGGCTTGAGGTATTAGATTAGGATTCATGGTGCTTGTTGGGATAATTTAGGACTCATGGTGTATTCTGTTAGCTCATAAAACTAGAAGACACGTCGTGATTTAAATTAAAATGGTTGTGAAAAGCTTTTAAGTATTAGTGAGTTTCTATATACATGGGAATGCAAATGTAGAGATACAAGTAGATGTTAACTGTAATTATGGAAGAGCAAGGAATTAGTTATGATATTACCCATCGGTTTAACGTAAGTTTGGTTAAGTGGACATTTACTTAAAAGTTTCTTCTGATTTTGCTTCACTTAAATATATTTTGCTGATAGCAATAGACTTGCTACCATAGAACCTACTGTACATTATGTTGGTGAGAAATACCGCTAAGGCAGTTCACTTGAACATAAAACAATAACTGAAATGATTGAAATAAAAAAATGTCTTCCCGTGGTAATAAGCCTGATTCAGAATTATATGTTTTATACATGTTTGAAGAATATTACTTGATGCACGCACTGGTCAGGATAAGTTTCAAACTCTAGATTGTAACTTGTGAGGGTTTTTCTTGAGTTAATTTGAGCTTGAAGGTACTTGTATTGTGCTTGTTATGCTCTGATAAACTTTTAATCTAATTTGCTGTGATGTTGTGCTGTCTGATTACATATTTCCTTCCATAAGATGCTTGCGCATGCATGAAATGAGTGTTTGAGAAATTTGACTTTGCGGATCTTTGCTGAACGGGTTTGAAGTGAAGTTCATTTTTAAACATCTGATCTTCCAATTACATGTCAGCCTTTCTGTGGATCTCTGTATCGCCAAATAATGCCCTCTTCATTTCCTGGTGTGAACTTCAGGATGATGACGGTGACAATGCTTTTCATATAGCAGCCGATACGGCAAAAATGATACGTGAAAATCTTGATTGGATCATTTTTATGCTTAAATATCCAAACGCTGCGGTTGATGTTAGAAATCACAGGCAAGTTTTGTTTGTCACTCCTCATTAGCTTTTATTTAATCTCTTCAGAAGTAATTTCACTTGTTTCCTTTACCACAAGTTCCATGATCTGCAATATTTGCTGCTGAATATGATATATTTCTTTTCTGGTAATGCATTACAGTGGCAAGACATTAGGAGACTTCTTGGAGGCTCTTCCCCGGGAATGGATTTCTGAAGATTTAATGGAGGCACTTGTGGAGAAGGGAGTTCATTTATCTTCAACCACGTGAGTAAAAGTCAATACAATGCTTCGCTGTTTTCATCACTTTCCTGGTAAAATTATGTGCAGTATGCGGTTAATTTCATTATCGGGGCTAAAGACTTTTGTACGGTTAAATGTTGTTTAGATATCAAATTGGAGACTGGGTGAAATTTAGAAGAAGCATCACAACACCAACATATGGTTGGCAAGGTGCAACACATAGGAGTGTTGGTTTCGTACAAAGTGTCCCAGACAACGACAATCTCACTGTGTCCTTTTGCACTGGTGAAGCCAAGGTACTGGCAAATGAAGTCATAAAGGTGATTCCACTTGACAGAGGACAGCACGTGCAACTTAAGCCAGATGTCAAAGAGCCAAAGTACGTCCCATCTATTATCAAGACATTATGTTTAGGCATGCTTGTTTCTTATTAGGTTAACATCGCTTCCTCGATGTATTTTATCTCATCTTTGTTGTCATACTATTGGGTTTTATAAACTCTTAGCTTTTGCATCTTGTTCTGCTTCATAATTGCATCATGGTGCTGTTCTTGTAGTTGCTGTATTCTTAAAATTTTCCTTCTCTCCACCCAGTCACTCTTCTTTTATGATGATCAATGCAATAATTTCAGGGACTTTTAAAAATGATACCAAACTGGGTGAAGATAAATATCTCTACTTTTTTCCTCCCATACTAGGTATTGGTATGTATCCAGATTTCGTTCTCAGTATGAGTTGATTATGTCGAAGTTATTCTATCTAGTTCTTTTTTATTGATGTTTTGATGAATAAAAAAGTGAAACAAAAATCCTATCATTTTGTTTTTTCTAGTCATTCGTTTTACAATGATAAAATGTCTTTCTTCTTCCCTTAAGTTAAAAATTGAATTTGAATGTGAACTCGAGAACCAAATATTGTAGTGATTCACCACATCAGTTCACACGAAGTTTTTTTTTCTCATATGCACTGTACACTTTCTATTCGTACTTAGTTTTTTGAATCCCTTTGAAATTGAATTAGATGATTATGTAAATGAACCTTAAATATGTAGCCCTATTCCTAATAGATTGACCCCAAAATAGAATGACTAATAGGTAGAGGGCACGACCTATCTTAGTGGTACTGCCATTGTGCTTCCTTTGGTTTTTGTGGGGTCATTTCCACTAATACATCAGTTGAAATCACGGTAGCTGTTCCACTGAAAAAATTGGCACCACCTTCCTACTGAGTGTTCCCCCTCTCCTTTCCCCTTTCGGGACTGTCTGGTGGCGATAATTCCCATAATAGCAAACTTTGATTCTGTTCACCCCAGTGCAATTCAATTTAGTATTGTGAATCACCTGCAATCAAGAATCAGAGTGAGTCTTGTTGGAGGTGATGTTTACTTCCTATTTGCAGCTATCAATTAATTGTTTTCAGATTTGTCATTTAAAAAATAGCTAAATTGTTTTATTCTGTGCTTAATTTGAAACCTTGTTTACAGTTTCAAATTTTTTGGATTAATAATTTGGAAATAGTCTCTTAAGGTCCCTTGTAAAAATTGATAATTGATGGTTCACCTAAGTACAGAAAATAAATTTTGTATCTTATTATGAAAAGAGTAAAAACAATACAAACAGTGTTAACTGATGGAGAAAGAAGTGTCTACCATCATCTAATCTTCCTGGTAATGAATAGAACCATTTGCTTGGCTGTAAACCAAATCTATTTTTAATTACCCTGTTGAAAAGAGTACTAGATGCTGATAAAAAATGGAGAAACCATTTATCCTCGATTGAAATGTTCCTATACACATTACCTTACCCAACACACACTTAGTTTTCCTTCATAACAATCTAATTTACCAAACCATCTTAAAGTGGGAATTAACTCAGAAGTGTAGGTCCACTGGACACACAAAGAAACAGACTTCATCCAAAGGAAATTCTTGTGTCTCAATGAGATATCGAAGTATTTCTCATTCTCAAGTAGTTTATCTTGCAGCAATTTTGGTTTAAACATTATGGATTTGTTTTTCTGCAATCTTAAACTGTGGCATTTTGAGCAAACCATGATGATACCAAATATTCTTATATGGGACAATAATTAGTTTTGTGTTTCTGCAGATTCGGTTGGCGTGGTCAATCGCGTGACAGCATTGGAATAGTTCTTTGTGTCGATGATGATGGAATTCTGCGTGTCGGTTTTCCTGGAGCATCCAGAGGATGGAAAGCTGATCCTGCAGAAATGGAAAGAGTTGAAGAATTCAAGGTCGGGGACTGGGTTCGCATACGGCCCACACTGACTACAGCTAAACACGGATTAGGATCTGTAACTCCAGGAAGCATTGGCGTGGTGTACTGTATTAGACCAGATAGTAGTCTTTTACTGGAACTAAGCTATCTTCCAGCTCCGTGGCATTGCGAACCTGAGGAGGTCGAACATGTTGAGCCATTTAGGGTAAGGGAATTTACTATAGCATGAAGGAGGTTGAATATTTCAAATTCTTGTTCGTTGTTCCTTGTTTTTACAATTTGGTCTTTCCTACCATGTATAATTTTGTTGCTTTTACAGATTGGTGATCGGGTTTGTGTAAAGCGCTCTGTTGCTGAGCCAAGATATGCTTGGGGTGGTGAAACCCATCATAGCATTGGAAGAATTAGTGAGATAGAGAATGATGGTCTGCTGATAATTGAAATTCCCAATCGACCTATTCCATGGCAGGCTGATCCTTCTGACATGGAAAAGGTCGAGGATTTCAAGGTATTATCTGCATAATTTATTTATTTTTCTGTTTTGAATCATGAATATACTGGATGACAGTTTTTACTGCCAATATTCAATATAATTTTATCAGGTAAGAGATTGGGTTAGAGTAAAGGCATCTGTTTCCTCCCCAAAATATGGGTGGGAGGACGTAACGAGGAACAGCATTGGTATAATTCATTGTTTGGAGGAGGATGGTGATATGGAAGTTGCATTTTGCTTCAAGAGCAAACTTTTCCGCTGTTCTGCGACAGATGTGGAGAAGGTTCCACCTTTTGAAGTAGGACAAGAGATACATGTGATGCCTTCTGTTACTCTGCCTCGGCTTGGATGGTCCAGTGAGACACCTGCGACTGTTGGGAAAATTGCAAGGATCGACATGGATGGTGCTTTAAATGTAAGCCGTTCTCTTCTTGGTTGCTTTTCTTGCATTAGGTTTAGGACGGGACATCAACTATGATCATCTACCAGATTGTTTCCAACTCATTGTCAAGTTTGGTGGGAAGTTGCTGATTAAGAATTAAGGAATGAGGTTCCTCAACGATAATAGCATGCCTTGTACTTACATATAGAACACAAATTAGGATGGCATTTTGATCCAAGCTAAGTCAAAACTTTTCTCCTGCTAATGATATAACTATCAACAAAGAAAAAATCTTGTATCATCAATGTGCAACAGATGGCACTTTAGAGCCCTCTCTATAATAGAAAGCAGAGGTTCTATCAGAGAGTCAAAACACATTGGTTCAACTGAACTTGTTTGATTTCAGAGTGAAATTACTTTTGTACCCTTTGAATCAAAGGTGTTAAAGGTGTAGAATGATTTATGTTTATAAAATGTGATATAATTGTATTAATTATCAATCTACAAACATTCACTCTCTTCCACGAAGAAATATAGATGGAGTTAATTTCATTAGATCTTAAGCTAGATTTAACAATAAATTGAATGAAGTCTCATAAAATAATTTATGTAGTTGAACCTATATTTACTGGAAACATACCTTTGTTTTTCCCTTATGTGGCTCTATTTTCTGTCCCGTGTTTTTACTTCATTTTCCATCATATCGTTCATTATCCCGACAAACACTCACCTTTTTTAGGTAAAAGTTGCTGGAAGACATACTTTGTGGAAAGTTTCTCCCGGAGATGCAGAACGGCTTCCAGGATTTGAAGTAGGTGATTGGGTGCGCTCCAAACCAATCATGGGGACTAGGCCCAGTTATGATTGGAACAGTATTGGAAAAGAAGGTTTAGCTGTTGTGCATAGTATACAGGATACTGGTTATCTAGAATTAGCTTGCTGTTTTCGTAAGGGAAGGTATCCAACCCATTATACTGATGTTGAAAAGGTTCCTGATTTTAAGGTTGGGCAACATGTAAGGTTTCGAAGTGGACTCGTTGAGCCAAGATGGGGCTGGCGAGGTGCTCATCCTGATTCTTGTGGGATTGTAGCCAGTGTCAATGCCGATGGAGAAGTGAGGGTTGCATTCTCAAGTTTACAGGGGTTATGGAGAGGGGATCCTGCTGATCTTGAAGTAGAGCAAATGTTTGAAGTGGGAGCATGGGTCAAATTGAAAGAGAACGCGAGTAGTTGGAAACCCATATCGCAAGGTAGCATTGGCGTAGTGCAAGGAATTGGGTTTGAAGGAAATGAATGTAATGAAAATATTATTGTAGGATTCTGTGGAGAGCAAGAACTATGGGTAGGAAATTTTTCTTATCATAAAAGAGTTGATAAACACCTGGTTGGGCAGCGGATCGAAGTTAAGAACTCTGTCAAGCAGCCTAGGCACTGGCGGACCTGGGGGTGGCCTGGGGGGGCACGTGCCCCCCAGGATTTTGGGAAATTTTATTATTTTTTATTTTTTAAAAGGAAATGAAAACAAAGAAATTATAACAAAGTCCTCAACTTCTTCACTTCTTCCATTTCTCCCGTCTCTCGAACTCGACCGAAGCTCTCGCTTAGTCTCTCCTCTCCAAAATCGCTCCGCCTCTAAGCCCTAGCCTCTACTCCGATCACCCACCGGTCATCTGACTTACCTCCAAGCTCTCTTAGACAGTCAGTCTCTCCCAACTCCCACTAGGCACTGGATTCGCTGCGTTCTCACGAATCGCACCACTCCGTCTCCGCGCCTCCACTCTACAGTCCACTCCTCCGCTGCTGGCAGTCTGGCATCACTTCGCCCCTCCACTCTCTGGCCTCTCTGAGCATTCTCGATCTCCGGCACTCACGTGGGTAAGTTTTCCAATTTCCACCACTCTCAGTTGATGTTATGACTTATGTGTAATTCAGTAATTGTGTAATAATGTTTGTTATGTTATTGTGTATGTTGTAAAAGACTAACTGTGGTCTGTGGTCCGTGTTATTGAAATGAGACAAATGAATTCCTGACTGTGTTATACTGATTTAGGGATTTAGGGTTATTTTTGAAAGTTTGATTGTGCCCCCCAACCCAAAAAGTCTGCGTCCGCCCCTGAGCCTAGGTTTGGGTGGTCAGGACACAACCATGCAAGTATAGGGACCATATCGGCTATTGATGCAGATGGAAAGCTGAGAATATATACACCGGCTGGCTCAAAAGCTTGGGTGCTCGATCCTTCCGAGGTGGAGATCCTTGAGGAACAGAAACTTCATGTTGGAGACTGGGTTAGGGTTCGGGAAAATGTTTCTACTCCTACTCACCAGTGGGGAGACGTACGTCACTCAAGCATTGGAGTGGTGCACCGTTTAGAAGATGAAGATCTTTGGGTGGCTTTCTGCTTTATGGACCGGCTATGGCTTTGTAAATCATGGGAAATGGAAAAGGTTAGACCCTTTAAAGTTGGAGACAAGGTGAAAATCAAAGATGGATTAGTGACGCCTCGATGGGACTGGGGTATGGAAACTCATGCAAGTAAAGGTGAGGTGGTAGGAGTCGATGCAAACGGGAAGTTGAGGGTTAAGTTTCGATGGCGAGAAGGGAAGCCGTGGATTGGAGATCCCGCTGATATTGTTCTCGATGAGAATTCGCCCTTGACAACTGGTATGGCGTAAGAAAAATAGCGTCTTTTCTTCGAGTCAATTTAAGCTTCAGTCATTGGATTCTCAACTCACTGAGGAGGCAAGAAGCAGTGAAAATGCCACAAGATTAAAACTTGGTCTGATTGCTACTAAGTGCATTGGAAGAAACGAGAACTGGACATCTGTTTAACAATTGACAAACAGAAGCGAGAGGCTAGAAATGATGATAAAAAGGAGAAATCTGACATATCAGCTCGAATATGAGTGTCAAATGCTTTTACAGATCTGTTGATTATCAGTGATTTTTCTCTGTTAGTAATAGTTATAGAATTGGGATAATTGGCTTCTTTGGAGTCTTTCAGTGACCTAAAAATCTTAGCAGGTAACCAGTACATTTGATTAGTGTTTTGATGTTTTCAGTATGGTGCATAAATTATCTTGTTGATTACTGTGAATGAGTAATATATCATAATGTGTATAAGATTTTTTTCTACTAAAATTGTGCTAGTAAATTATGTACAGAATGTAAAGAACTGATGGTTTGGTAGGATTCATTTTCATTGGCAACTTTAACGGTAGAATTTTACTTTAAAGGTAGAATTTTACGATGGCGTTTGTTTCGAACGTGGTTTTTGTGTTCATAAGCACGTGCATGCAAGCGTATTGACCCATCATATGTACGTACACACATGTACGTGTACATGTATAGTGACCAATACTGTTGAAGGAGATATCTTGGGAACTCGAGGCTTAATTTCCCCATGTAATCTATTATATCCCAAATCCCAGACCTATTTGCTGGATATATACAAGTTTGATGCAATTTCAATGTTACTGAACGTGGCCTAGAAAAGACATTTAAACATGTCAAAGTAGAATATTACTAATTGTAATGTCACAACGAGTGTTAATTTTACCACTCACGTTCTTTCATTATTCTCTGGCCCAAGTATTGATGGAATGGCGTCTTCGAAACCTTGAGTAAGCGTGGTCATTGATTTTTTTTTTCTTGTGAATATAAAAACATGTTTAATACGTTAACTCTGACCATAGTTGCACGGAGTACGGTAGAATTCCTCGGTATGTTCATTTTAGAAAATTGAGCACGTACTTCTCTTGTTGCTTGGATAAATCATAAACAACCATACATTTCCGTTCATTCGACCAAGATAGATCATCCTTAGAGTAAAAGAAAAAGGGCATTCATAGATACTTTTTTCACAAACCAAGAATGCTTTACAGAATCATGGAAAAATATGGTGTCATATGTAGAGTGGAGATTGATTTCCGATGTCCAGATTCAGTGCATTCTTACCAACTTAGAATTCTCACCGTCTGATGCAAGCAAGATATGTGGTTGGTGATGAAATGTAAAGATGTATACGCACATGTTTGATGATCATGATGAAGAATAATAGGTGCAAGTTGGTGAAATTTATAATATCAAGTCATCATATCTTCTGCTAAATACATTGCATTTGATCATATTTTCATCTACCTATACCTCTATCTATCTATGCCTACTAGCCCTATATGTAAAACTTTTCCCAATACCCTATTGTTGTGCTTGGTTATTTTCCCATGCAATTGAGCATTTTAAAGAAGATTCTAGAAAAATAAAATTTATAATTATAAAAAATTTGATTCAATCAAGATTTTAATTCAAGTTGAAGTCAATAATTAATTTTAATCACATATTTCGTGGGGTCTATAACTTTTCAACCACACATTTTATCAATTAATATAAAAATCTACTAAAAATCTTATTTTAATCTGTACTAAACAAGAGCTTAATATGTTTTTGCTTTTAAGTAATTGTAAATTATTTCTTACATAAGGAATCTATGATTAATAAGTGGAAAATTATGGATAATGACAAATGCATTGAAAAAAAGATGTTCGATCAATTTAAATTATAATTGATACTTTGCCAAAAATGCACTTAGGCCCGTTTTGCATGGCTTTTGAAAAGTTAAAATGAGTTTTTGAGACCTAAATTCAGTTTTTAGACCTGTTTGACTAATTTTATAAAAGTATTTCTTTTTGTTATAAGAGCTTTTAGAGGAAATTGATCCAATGCGACTTCCTCTAAAAATGCTTCTACAACATTCATACCGTTTTCACATTTGATGAACAGGAATCAACGAGTTGGATGAATATTTATCTTACTCGACTTCTCCAATGTATCAAATAATAATCCAAACTGTGTATTATTGGGATATGTCATCCTGATTCTCTCATATTTGAATATATATATATATATATATCAGATATCTCGAACCGGATTTCCCGACAGTAAACACATTGACATATTAATTATCACACTTCCCTATTCCCACATTTTTTTTTCTTATTGTTTTCCCCTTAGTGCAAGAAATATTAATACTATAAAACCCCATAATTCAACCATCAGAATATTCATATACATACATGCCACTCAACTCAAGTCAATACTTTTTTCTATACGTGCGCATATTAAACACGCACATAATTCGTGTATGACATTTGGAGTGGAAAGATATACGTCGAGATGGTAATGAGGTGCTTCAGTGGGTGGTGGGTGGTGGTTTTAGCCATCCTAACGACGTCACTACTGGTTTTGCCACCAATTTTGCCGCCACTTGCGCCACCTCCAATGGTGCTCATGTTGTTTCCACTAGGAATAATGGCTTTCCTCATGGCATTGGCTTTCTCTCCAGCTAATGCTACAGAAGACATCTTGATTTACTCCTCCGTGTAAAAGATGAATCTGCCTATGCAGAGTGACTCCTGGTGTAAATGGAATCAGATTATTAGTTTCAGTTTGAGAGTGAAAAACTTGATACTGGTATAAATATTGTGATGCCACTTTGATGATACTAAGATGAAAGGCTTCATTTCTGTATTTTTTTACTTCTTTAATTTAGAGAATATATATATAAATGTTAAGAGTTAGTTTTCTTATCTTTCAAAACTTCTGCTGTGGTCCTTGAACTTTGTATGTGAAATAAAAGTGTCGAAAGGAGGCAAGTTTGCCCTCCGACGCTCAAGTCAAGCGGCGAAGTAAAGGAAGGTAGTATGAATATATCGTTCAGAATGAATTTTACATATAATGGGATATCCCTTTATGAGGATGGTAAGGCTACATCATCTCCCCTCTTTGGTGTAGCAATTCCCAGTTGTCTTATGCATTTTTTTTTTTCATTACAATATTAATTCACTACATCTTCATTTTTATTTTTTATTTTTTACTTGGGGTTAAGTGGGAGGAGCCTTATCTTCACACTTCTTCTGTTCTCATCACTCTCATTTTGGTGTAGAATCTACTCTCATCACTCTCCTAGATATTTGATTGAATTTTTTCTGATTTCATAATTTGTTTGGTATTGTATTACTATTTCATTTCGAAAAGAGTTTTTACAATCTAATATATTCTTCTATAATATTTATTTCATTAGTATACCACATAATTTAAGTAATGATTAGCTTATCATCATCTTCTTTGAACGAAAATAATTTATTCAATTTGTTGCCAAACATTCAAAGATTCGACGAAAAATGTCAGTTGTGTTGTGACAGTAAAATGAAAGAAAAACTAAAGTTATTGATAAAACAAAGATGTAGTATTTTTTTAACCTTTGATAATAATATTCTTTTGATGGTAATCGATACGTATATGCACTTTATTATGATATGTTAAACATATTTTCGTCTTCTAAGTAATGCGAATCCCGTTTCCCCAATTAAATTATTTCTACCATCATTAATGAATGTTTCTTTAGCCTTCTTACAATGCAGGGACCATTCTTCGTTGTCCCAAATGTGTCGCGATGAAATATACTTCCAAACATATTTTTCGACATGTACCATTTTTTTTTCTTGTTATAGCACCCTGTCTCAAATTACGTGTGGTTCAGTTACTTTAAAATTAATTAAATTTTACATTTGAAACAAATTTATCCTTGTTATGATAAAGAAAAGTAGAATAGTGTAATTCATACCCCGATTCAAATGATACAAATTTAACTTCACCTAGTTTGAAATGTATGAGAAGAACACTTTCACATGATGAGACATTACTAGGGACCAACTTCTTCAATTTACTTCAATTATAGAATGCACAACATATCAGTATCCGACATTGACCTATGTAGTTACAATTTGAATAGAAGCACATGTTTGTCTGTCGCATTAACTTCAAGAAGATGGTCGCCTTATGACATGATTNGACCCCCCCCCCCCCCGGTCCGCCCATGGTACATTTGATTAGTCTTTTGATGTTTTCAGTATGGTGCATAAATTATCTTGTTGATTACTGTGAATGAGTAATATATCATAATGTGTATAAGATTTTCTTCTACTAAAATTGTGCTAGTAAATTATGTACAGAATGTAAAGAACTGAGGGTGGTAGGATTCATTTTCATTGGCAACTTTAAAGGTACAATTTTACGATGGCGTTGGTTTCGAACGCGGTTTTTGTGTTCGTAAGCACGTGCATACAAGCGTATTGACCAATCATATGTACGTACGCACGTGTACGTGCACATGTATACTGACCAATACTCTTGAAGGAGATATCTTGGGAACTTGAGGCTTAATTTCCCCATAACCTATTACACCCCAAATCCCAGACCTATTTGGTGAATATATACAAGTTTGATGCAATTTCAATGTTACTGAACAAGGCCTTGAAATTACATTTAAACATGTCAAAGTAGAATATACTTTATTCCTTATTGTAACCTCACAACGAGTGTTAATTTTACCACTTTCTTGTGTTCTTTCATTATTCTCTAGCCAAAATGTTGATGGGATGGCGTCTTCGAATCCTCGAGTAATCGTATTCATTGATTTTTTTTCGTATGAATGTAAAAACATGTTTAATACGTTAAAACCAAATTATTTTTACAGTATAAAGCAACAAAGATGTGTAACGAAAGCGTGATAGACCTATCCGTTATCTCGTATAGTTATGTTTATTTTAGAAAATTGAGCACGGACTTCTCTTTGTTGCTTGTATAAATCATAAACAACCATACATTTCCATTCATT